AGCCTGCAGTGTGAGTTGGTCAGTTTGCGGAACTTCGACCAGTTTGCCTTCTTCCATGTAAGCAGGGTCTTGTAGATCCGCGGCACTTCTAGCGGAGTGTCATCCTCCCCCACCTGGACAGTATAAGTGATGATGTAGTGGTCGCTGTCCGGGGTGTGGCATGCTGTCCAATCTGTCACTGCGCACTCTTTTGCCAGTGTTACATCTGGCGCGGAGCCTCTATGCCTCTCGGTGTACCGTGTCCTATTTCCAGTGTTGGCAATGAGGAACTCATTGTCAATGCACCATTGCACGATGGTATCACCTCGAGAGTCAGGCGGGACTTCGTTGTCCCATGCCAATGCGTGTGCATTGACGTCGGCACCTATGAGCTGTGGCCCGTCTGTGTTGAGTCTATCGAGGTCCTCTGGAGTGATCTTGGTGGCGACAGGCGGAAGATATGCTGATGAAATCGTCAACCGCGTACCTCTATCTAGATGGATGGTCACCTGTGCAAGCTCAATGCCTGCAACAAGCGCCGGTCCTGTCTCTACCTGTATCTCATCCCTGATGAGGATTGATACACCTCCACCACGACAGGTGCGAGCTATCCCATAATGTTGGAACCCAGGAAGTCCAAAACTAGCAGCCTCAGGGGGGGACATTTTTGCCCCACTCAGTAAGCAGAACGTGATATTATCATCGTAGAGCTTTTTACCCAAGGCTAGGCGTTTGGCCTGTGTTAGCCCAGCTGAGTTCCATTGCATGCCCCTCAATGTAGGGCCGGGATTCTCTTCCACATTTCCACTAAGCAGTAACTTGGTGCGGATGATACTGCTGATGGCGCGGTAACACGCGCCCCAAGACCGACAAGGATAATACTGTGTCCTAGCAAGACGCGGCGGGTCCTGGTACTGTGTGATGCCGTAAGCCGGGCGCCGCAAAGTTCTCCAAGTGGCGAACGTTGCTGGCGCTTGGCTTCCCCCGACAATGCGGGGTGCTGGACCTTGGTGCCACGATGGGGCGGCCGGCATCACCAAGGATTTTAAGTTATAGGACCCACTTTCAGCAAGTAGGGTAAGGTGGCCATTCTTATTGCAGGCTCCCAAAAAAGTAACTTATTAAGTTCAGTAGAAGCATTCCGTCCACAGCACGCTCATCCCTCTCCGAGAATGAGTGGGCTGGAAGTGCAAGAGCTTTTATGGAGTTCATACGCGAGAAGGGGCCAACCCTGTTTTCCTTTGGCTTTCAACCAGTGCAAAACCCCTACGTGATTTATCACGCGGGAGGCCTATTGGCATTGGGGGGTGGGATGCTCATGGTTTATTTGGATCAAGAACGTAAAATGGGTTTGGCATTGTTACGAAACACATCCGTAAGTTTCACACTACCAAGGAATTAGGATTTAATTTGAGTTTTTGAAGAGGCAAGGGCCGGACTCTGCACAGAATGGGCAACTTTAGAGGCCACAGAATCGGCGTGATATCAACAATACGAACGCTCGCGCGCAACTGGCTGATGAAGCCTTTTGGGTGCAACAAAGTGTACAAACCCACCTACTTGAGATGTAAAAGCAGCTGAAACAGATTCAAGACATTATTAGCCAACAAGCGGCGCAGTTGAAGGCTCAACACCATATCATTAATACTTTACAGCGCCAATTAGCTGCACCTAAAAGCAAGATGAGCGAAAGTGACACAGCGGAATCCCCACTGAAACAGACAAGTTTAAAACAAGGTGAGACATCGGGGCAGACTAAACAAATTGATGGCTCGCTATAGAACGAATTCCAACAACAAGAGCCTCATCAACCATTGGCCGGGGTTGGCTGCCGCGATCTTCAGAAACTTCGTGGCACGCAGTGGGCGTCAGGTGTGAAACCGGAAAAGGAAACTCGCACATCCGAGGACGCAAAAACATTTCTCCAACGTAGGGCGCCTGAGGAATTTATTTCCGCGTTTTAATACGTTTTTCCGGCGCCACCCACGCCTGGCCCAGCATATTCAGAGGCGTGGGGGAATTTCGTGGCGTGTGTTTTTGGCGTGCGTCCTGACGGCGTTTCAGAGAAACATCTCCCGTTTGATGGGCGTTTGCATACCCAATTGGGACAATCCAGAGAGTGAGGGATCGCCCTGGCGTGCAGACTCGGGCTGCGCGTGATGCTGCGGGTGAACCCAACGAAAAGAATTGCATTTTTTCGCAAGTGGCTCAGAAGGCCAAGTTGCAGAGACACGCCCAGCGTCATCGCCTTGAAGCCCGCTCCCCCCCGATGGTGTCGTCCGGAAAAGCCTCACGTTATACGGCACTTGCGCAAGGTGGCCTCGGCTACCCCACAACAGTGGGGGCTCTTTAAAGGAGGCTTTGAAGAAACAAGGGGGCTATTACCCCTGAAGGGAAAATAGGCAAACAACGCCACCATACTTCAAGCTCCCGCCCGCGGGCCGTGCGTCGTGGCATTGGCGCTTGGGGTCAGCAGGAAAGCCAAGCGCAGATGGACCCGCCCAACGCGGGAGCAAAAGGGGTCCATCATAAGGGGATTCTGCAACTTCGCCGCCCACCATGGATTGCCAGCAGGGGAACAAACAGTTTTCCTTTGATTTCAAGATTGTAGAACGCAAAGCGCAGTGCCATACAACGCGCAAGGGCCACAACCCCCCAGCCAGCCACGGGGCAAACGCCGGCGCGGGTGTTTTTGGTCGGCCTTTGAATTTCGGCAGCCGGCAGCCCATCAAACAGGCTCACCCCATGCCGCGGCGGGAACCCGGTCTCGCCACCGAGCCGCCCCCACCCGAGCAAGGCTGTGTAACATTAAGGCCGGCTTTGGCCACACCCAGGGGGTGGGGAAAATCGCATAGCTACAAAAAGAAACCTTGCCCCACACCCGCCAGATAAAAACTCCGAAATCGCCGTGTGGGGGCCATGCCCAAAACTTTCAAAAGTGACCCACAGAGCCGCAAGATACGCGGCGATCAGGGTGGAAGGGGGCGGGCGCCTACAGAACGAGTGCGGCCATAAAGGCCATGGGCGGAAGCGAAAAGCCAACCACCATCGCCACAGCGGCAGTAGAAAACATTCTTCGTCCACGCGGAATGGCCACGCATTCTATAAAAAGAGGCGTCCTGCCACACGCGGCGGCAGCAGTTTTGGAACACGGCCTTGGCCCCGCCCCCTGGCGCAATTGGGAAACACACCGACCCAATGGAACTTCCTCGAAGCAGAGCGCAATATCCCAGCAGGTGGGCAGTAACCGAAAACGCGTCGGGAAGGTTGGTGTCGTTAGTGTGGGGCGTCTGGGGGAATGGGTTGGTTCGCTGTGGGCTCTGTCGGAACTCAAAGGGGGTTGTGCATGCTATATTTTTTGAGAGCACAGCGTTCGCTGACATTCGCATCGTGCGTGGGTCGCTTCGCGGGAAGAAGAGAACGATTCGACTCGCCGGAAAGTGAATATCGGCACCCTTTTCCTTTCTTGGATTTGTTGGCGCGTCTCGGCCGAGGCGCTGCAGCGGTTTGGCGCGGTGTGCGAATTGGCGAGGGGCCCCACCGGCACACCCCATGGAGAGAAGGGGTTGCAATTGCGCATCGCGCAAAACAGCGCACACATCATGAAACAGGCTGGCACTATTCGCTATGCTTCGGACGGTCTCAAATCGGCGTGGGTGGTTCTGCCCCCCTTGGTGGGGAATGGGCTCTCAGGGGGGCGGTGGCGTTTTGGTGCGCTACCCAGGGCCACGGGCGCCGCGCAAGGTCGCATTGCCGACGTTCCGCTGGGCCACATTTCCCATAATCCTGACGCTGTCCATGGTGGGTGCACCACCTTGTTGGATTTAAAGGCGTTCTTTTTCCAGGTGGGCCTGGCTGAAGGTATTCGGGCTGGGCCCCGTTGCCGCAGGGAAAGCGGGGAACTTGTCGGGGCGAACCGGCTTCCAATGGGTTTCAAACGCTTCCCTGAAATTCTGCACAGCATTGCGAGAGTGGAGGCGGGCGGCCCGGGATGGCCAAACTGCGTTATGCAGCCCCGGGGCCATTGAAAATACACACGTGAATCGACAACATCCACATAAGTGGTCCACGGGGCGTGGCCAAACACTGGGGCAGATGCATTGCAAAGAAAATGCAAGAGTGCGGCGCAATCGTTTGGGAACACCAAAAGGCGTCCCAACGGTATGGATTTATTGGAGTGTTGCTGGGTCGCAAAACAAAAAAAAACAGACAGATTCGTTGAGACAGAAAACGCTACTAATATTGCACACGCTGCCTTCTCTGTAGAAGACTTTGATTCAAGACATAGATGGCACCCTTCTCGCATATTTGCATACAGCCGGGGTAAGGGGGGAATCTCTCTTTCCTTACTGCTTTTTCCAAAGGCGGCGAGATGACGTTTGCCTCGCCTTAATAGAGGATCGGCGCGTTCCAGTGATCCCGCCCGTTTGCCTTCGCATGCGTTTTCACTTGCTCGCCCATGGCATGGCAACCTGTTGGGGAACGGACCAGTACATCAGCCGCGAATTTTGCCAACCTCAGCCACATTGTTTACGAAAACCTCGATGTACAGATGGCGCGCTTTATCATTCGCAGATTCGAAAGAAACCTCGCTTGCCGGGGGCTTGGGAAAAAAACGCCCATGATGTCGCGCAGGCGGAAGCACTAGCGGTGCTTTAAATTCCTTGCTTTCCATCGACGCATCAAGGGCCGACTGTGTATATGCGTGGGTAATACAAAGGTGGTGCATATAATGCAAAAAAAAGCAACACCCATACGGATGCCTTAGTGCGCGAGGCTTTGGCCATAGACACGGCGCTGCGTGAGCATCGCATACGCACCATATGTAGTTATGTGGCTTCAGAAGGCGATCCCGCAGACGGGGTTTCTAGGGGACGGTGCGTCACATCCAAAGGCATAGCGACGGGGTGGAACCTTCGAAGGTGAGCGTGGGGAGCGGGTTAAAAACACTTTCAGCACTTCTCTTTCGCAGGTTGGGGTAAAATATGGCATTTTGGGAATCTCTTGTTTTGGTGCGAATGTCTGGGGAAAAACCAACGTAGATCGAAGGAAAAATGATAATACGGTTTTTCCCATTTGGTGTTGTACGTTGTCTCGTTCTGGGGCAAGGAAGACTGAGCCTATTCTTGTTTTTAAAGTCTGGTTCTGTGGTTTCAGCGGGTTGCTCCGTTTAGGGTGCTTTTGGAAGGGAGGGCAACGGATATAGTAGCGAAAGTAATGATGTGAAATGGATATTCGCTTAAAAGAGACAACAGCCAACCGGAGTGCAAGCAAAACCGAGGGCTCAATAGATTACACTGGATGCAGTTTGTGAACCCACGTCTTCGTGATATTTCAGAAATTGTTTTCTACCCCGTCGGGCCCTCACTAAAGTTTTTTTTGTGCGTGTTATTCGGGCGGCGCGGGGAAGGTGTAGAAAGACCATGCGGAAACGGCGCTTTTGTGCATGTTTTTTTTTCCAATTCAGATGCCCCCAGTCCACACAGCGCTCAGCACCGAGATTTCGGAAAAACCGTTTGAACTAAGGCGTTTTCCGTTGGGATCTTTTTGGATTTTCCTTTTTCCTCAACACAAAGCTCAAAAACCAAAACACCCACCGGTTACGGCAGTCGCCGTTGGGTTTGTGTGGCTTTCGGCCGCTGGTGGCGCCGTTTGGCTTTCCGCATTTCTGCCTCCAAACGGCGCCGTTATATTGTAAGGGGCTCGTGTGTTTTGGCATTTCTTCTTTCTTTAATTGAAACTGCGTTTCGTACAATATATTCCTCTCATCTGCGCAAGTGGGTGTTCCAGCTTTGACATTATCCCGGGGTTGCACCATTCCACCGCTCAACGGGCAACACGGAACGGGAAACGAATCTCTGCCGCAAAAGGCTCAAGGCGGCGATAATGTCTAAGAGATTTTTTTTCGCACCAAGCCGATGGGCTTTTGTTTGTGAACCTGCAAAAGCAATGGCCAAACCTTAACGTTTCATAGGATACAAATCCATAATGACTTCCGGATTTACTCTATACGTGCCAAGTAAGGAAAGTGTCGCAAAGCGTAAGTTTGAAACGAAAAGCAAATCACAAGCAAGCAATCACGATGTTATCCACTACTTCCCAGCAGGCCCTCAGGGACGTGGAATGGATGACGAGCCTATCAGCTCTCAGAGCGTTCGTCGAACATTGCGCACGGACCCCCTTTTCGTTTGAGTATAGACCAAGTATTAGTACGCAGGTCAATCGCGTCGAGGGCATACTCACATTGGAAGATGGGGAACTGACCATTTGCCTGGAAAATGGAAGAAAGGCCAGTTTTGTTTCTTTGCGACACTCCATGATGTCTTTCAACATGCCAAAGAACTAGAATTTTCTCAAGGTTTTTGATGATGCCAGGGCGACTTTCCGAACGGAGTGGATGGCACTGGAAGACAGCAAGTCAATGCTGTATCAGCAGTACGAGATGGCCAGGGCACAACTGGCGGAAGAAAATTTAAAGATCCAGCAGGACGCTTACGCTCAGACGGTGGGATCCCACGATCGCATTAATCAAAAGCAGCATCACATTAACACGTTGGAAGCGCAGAAAAACCAGCTCTTTGAGGAGAAGATTCCAGATGCAAGCCCATATCAACCAGATGCAGGCGCGGTGTGTCCAGAGGGAAGAAAAACAGACGGGACTGCCAGTGCAGCCGGCTTCGACAGAGGATGAAAAAGAATTTAGTCCACAGGCTTTTCACACCTTGGCACCTACTGCCAAGATGGACGGGCATACCGTACGGTCTTCTTTTGCGTTGGGGGCCCCGCCCCAGGTGGGGTTGCGAGGACTTCAAGAACTGAAGAACAAGTTCGTGGACAAAGGTTTTCGTCCGGAGGAGAACATCCGGACTTTTGAAGGAGCCATGGAGTATTTAGTGGAGACTTCCTCAGAGCAGTTGCCGGCGGCTTATCGCAACCTCTTCCCATTAGCCATGAGGCCTGGTTTTGAGCTCTGCCAGGCGTGGG